CCCCCACCCCCGTCGGGTTTGAGAGAAGATGATGGAACAGCTATGCAGATGCTTTTTGTTTGTTTTGTTCTGATGTTGCTCATTAAATGCCCAGGTCATTCCAGGCCGACATTCCAGTCTTTCATCTGCTCCGTCCTCTTCATCCTCAAAAACTCAACCTGCCCACTCTCCTCCTGAGAATCATCACTTCTTCTGTTTCTTGGTCACCTTCCCCTCTTCCTCAACCCCTAATTAACCATGAAGTAGGAGGTAGGGCTCCTGGTAGTACCTGAACTTGAGTCTGCAGATCTGGAAATTTTATTTTATTTTATTTTTTAAAAGATTTTATTTATTTGAGAGAGAGAGAGAGAGCGAGAGAGCTAGCACTAGTGGGGGGAGGGGACAAGCAGAGTCCCCGATGGGCACAGAGCCCCATGTGGGGCTCGATCCCAGGACCCTGGGATCATGACCTGAGCCAAAGGCAGACACTTAGCCAACTGAGCCACCCAGGCGCCCCAGGATCTGGGAATTTTAATGCTAATTGCTTTGGGGAATGAAAGAGAATAGCAAACATAGGAAAGTTGCAAAAAGCTTTGAAATCTGAAACAGTTCTCATGGACCTTGCCAGTTGATGTTTTCTGACTCTTCCTTTGATGGAAGCCCCAGTGTCCTATTGCTATAATCTGTTAATTCTTGAGATGAGAACAAACCTCCGAATTCCAGAAATCTCAAAACTGTCATCCCTGGGACTAAGTCCCTTCACCTTCTGCATTCTGCACCTTCAGGGTCATTGTGCAGGTGTAATAAAACCTGTAGGCCTTTCATGCATTGCTAAACGCTGCTGAGAGATTGACATGCAAGCTAAACCCTAAATGGATGACTCCTCTGTGTCCCCCCACCCAGGGTGAAACTAGACCATTGCCTCTGGAGAAATCTTAAATATATCCTTTAGACAAAGTGAGGTGTAAGATACTTGAAGAATGAAAAAGGGAGTGTTCTGTAAACCCTGGAAAAAATAACAAAGTTTCAGGGCGCCTGGGTGGCTCAGTTGGTTGAGTCTTGGTTTCGGCTCAGGTCGTGATCTCAAGGTGGTGGGATTGAGCCCGTACTGGGCTCCGTGTTCAGCAGGGAGGCTGCTTGAGATTCTCTCCCTCTGCCCCTCACCCTACACTCACTCTCTCCCTGTCTCCCTCTCATAGATAAGTCTTTAAAAAAAAAAAAAAAAACACGAAGTTTCCACAAGATCCTTTACAATGGTCTTCCTGACTCTGCTGTGGAAAATGGCTTATAATAACACAAACACTTATTTAACTAATGGCCCTTCATCAGCATGAATCCCTGAATGATGGTGTGGCAGATGCCTTTCCTCCTGGCAAATCAAAAGGTTTGTTGTGTCCGTTTGGCAAGACCTTAAGGTAAAGCTCGGATGCTTCTTGCCGACTTCTTCAAGATGTTGGAAAACTGGTCCTTTGACAAATGCAAATACAAGGACATCAGATGACTCGTGGATCATTAAAAGGTTGATCATTGTTTTCCTTTAAAACTCTTTGGGGAAAAAAAATTAAAACATATGATGGGCAAAGTTGCAGTTTGAATCATTCTTATCATTAACTATTCTTAGCAAGTTCTTGTGATCTCTCTGGCCTAACTGATTAATTTGGCAGTTGAATGTGACATTTGTATGTAGGTTGTTTTTTTTTTTTAAAGAGACATTTAGCTCCTGAAGTAGAAAATGTTGAGGGTATACTATGGAATATCTTTATGTCCAGATAGATGGAGGGGTACATGAACTGAGTGAAGCTATTTTAGTTTTTTTAAAAAGTCAGTGGTTTGCACTAGAGTAACCTTTGTATTTAACTGGATTCAGAAATACTATTCCTTATTTTTGGAGAAATTTACGGTGCCAGTTCTTAGCCCAAAGGAGAAAAAAAATGGTGGACAACATAAGGATGTTTAACATGATAAATTGTATATATATTCAAGTAAAACTTTGAAGCACAAACTTTCCTATGCATTGATAAGAGTTAAATATTACATATACAGGACGACTGATTGATTATGGGGTGGTTAACGGTTGGCCAGTTTTAGCTGGTATGCATGTATTTGTCTTACCTGTGTGTGTATGTAATGCCCTTTCATATGTAAAATAATGTCTGCAGTTTTAAATACAAAGACAAAGTGCATATATTCAATTATAGTATGCATTTGTATTTAAAATTGTGCTTTTTTTTAAAAACACATGAAAGGGCATGGGCGCAGTGCATCCTTGGCCTGTTTGTATTTCCACAGTGAGTTACACTTACAATGTGCCATCATTAGCTAATCCTGTAGTTTTCCTGTAACTCAAGTTATGGGACAGGTGCGTCTGGGTATACCACGTCTTCAAAGATACGCCCAGAAATACTGCTTTGTAAGTTGCACAACGATAAGAAAACGACATTGGAAAGTTATAATCTCCACACTTCCCTCAATTCTGGCACCAACAGTTGTATGCATTTTTCAACGCTCTGCCTACCCGTGTCTTGTGCTGCTCGTATATCCTTCCTATTCCAGGCCGAAGGCCAGTGTCCTGACAAGGCCTTCAGCAGTAAGCCCCCGAGACTGAGCTCCAGATGGTGGCAAAAACCCTGGAGGAGAAAACAGCTGTGCATCATAGCCCTCGGGAAACACAGTAATGGCTAGAAGGTAAAATAACAGGTCCGCCGGGACATGATCCTTACATGCTTTGCAGCCTGTCCTCCGAGGCCCGGCCCGAGGCCTGCAAAGAAGCTAGCCTGACACGCCCAGCTTCCTGCATGGGGTCAGCAGTGGGTGTCCACAGCACACCCCCACAGCTGCTCCAGGAACAAAGACAAATGATAACATCCCCTCCAAAGTAGAGCAGGCAACGCCTCCCCCAAAATAGTCCCCTGCAACCGTCTTCTCCAAATTCCTTGAAAATGAGGACTGTATTTATAGAAAAATAGAACTGGCAGGAATAAACCATGAAGATGCCGCTGAGTTATGCTTTTATTTCCTCTTGACAGAAAATCAGAAGCGGTAGGGGGTTGGCCCTGGAGATCTGCCACGTGCCAACATTCCCTTTGTGCTTCTAAGCATTTCCGCATACCTAGCGCCGTGAGCAACGCGATATTTTTAAAAATTAAAAAAAAAAAAAACCGCTACTGAATGCCTACCCATGCAGAAGCTGGACCCGCTCTGGAGATCTATAACTGTGAGCAAAACCAGACCTTGTCAGTGACCCTGTGGCATGCTCAGTTTAGTGGGAGAGGCAGACAATCAAAACTCAAGAATACAGGTAGGATCACAATTGTGACAAAGGCAGTGAAGAAAATGTACTTGGGAAAATGAGAGGGACACTTGATGCAGTCTGAGGGATCAGAGAAGCAATCCTGAGGAAGAGAAGTTTGAACTGACATCTAGTGGAGGAGTAAGCATTTAGAAAACGAGCACTCCAGGCCACAAAACAGCCTGTGTAAAGGCCCTGTGGTAGAAGAAATAGGGATGAACAGGCTGGGAAAGCTAGGAAGCCAGCAGCAAGAGAGTGGAGAGCTAGGAGTACAGTATCGGCTGAGGCTGGAGAGGTCACCAAAGGTGGGACCCTCGCTGGGCCTTCATCTTGCCCAGCAAATTAGACAAGGGTATGAGTGGCTCCGGGAAGACCGGTTAGGCCATGTGCAGATTATGGTAACTTGGGCTAATATTTGCTAGTAGAAATGGATGGATTTGGGAGATGTTCTAAGGAGTAAGTGACAGGACTTAATGACCCGTTGGATTTAGGAGGGAGAGAGACAAGTTTCACGCTGGACACTCTAGTGTTGGTTTAGGGTATATGGTGCGGCCTTTCCTGAGACG